AACTGAAATATCAGTACACTAAGCATGTAAACAAACAAATTTATTAATACTTTAGGTGCTTAGGCGACAGGATTCGTCTAGCCTACAGACATCAAATTTGGATTTATTTTTGGTCGACTTTCAGTGTATGTATATGCGTCGCCAAATAACTTGGGGGGNGGGGGGGGTTGGTAACCTCTTCAGAGGCAAGGCTCTTTGAAATTGCCCCGTCTATAGTTGGCCCACACCTGCGAGCATTTCGTTTCGAAGGCAGCGAAATGATTGGTTTACTGGTCCCTCCCTCTTGTCATACCTTTGGGGCATTTGGCAACAATTTGCACAGCCGCCTTCAAAGGCTTTGCGAATGAAAGCGTTGCCATGGGGATGCCAACGCAAGCGTCGTGGTTCATCCGTATTTGTGTAACGGCGCGGTTATTTGACACATGAAAATAGTGGATATCGAATTAACCTATCAGATCACTGGATTTGTAAGGACGCAAGTGAACCAATCAAAATCCTCTTTTAAAAGAGCTCATTGAATAGAGGAGGTCGAAATTGTGCGGGGTGTGCGTGTCGATCAAATCTGAATTTATTTAATCATTTAAAGCAAGTCATAACACTTTTTTCGATTGGGAGCCCTTCACAAAAACAAAACTACAACATATTTTCTGGTTTTTTCTTCCTTCTAGTCATGTTATCGAGCCTGTGAATTCATGGGCGTGATAGCGGAAAAAAATAACTCCTATGAAGACGCCGCAACGTACTACAACACGGCATGGGAAATTCTCAACAAACAAGATCTTGCTATTGGTGAGCTAGGGGATAAATTTCAGCTGAAACATTGCATTTTATGTATTCAAACAAATTTAAATCGTCCTAGATGAATAAATGCTGTTATTTCTAGGCTGTATTCTACTCTGCACCATTGACTTCTTTAGGTTTCGGTTAGGAAGAAGACTGTGGCTACTTATATGCCAGTTTAAGTAGCTAGCTTAGGATTCATCAAAACAACTGTGCTTTCATGTAATCACCTCGTAGCTGTCACTGCTGACAACCCATATTAGGAGACTAAACGCTGTGGATGCGTGTTTGTCCATGTAAATTTTCAAAACACCGTGACGTGCATCTCTTTCGGCCTGAGTTGAGGTTCGGTTTTATAATAACAGAATGGGTTTTGGCATACCCAAAAGGATAAGTCGAATTAGGACATGTAATATTTCCATTTGGCTTCCTTTTGGTGTAATGAAGTGTATCGCCACGAGCCCTTCATAGCTTCATGCATTAAGCCATACTAGTAAGGCATAAGATTTATTGTTATTGGGGGGCTATAGGCATCCCTTAAAGGTCATGCCACCATGGGGTAAGTAAAAATCAAGGCGATGGAAGAGCAGAGGCCAGTTCCCTAACGTAAACGCAGGAGTAATAACTAATTATTGGGCGGTCAAACTTACATCATGCGATACAAAAGTCAAGAACTAACTCCACAAAGTGGAGGCTAAAATTCCGAAATTTGTGAATTATGATGACTTGATAATTATAATGGGAAGTTGTTATTTCTACAGTTTGGAAGGATTTTTTGCAGTAGTGCCTCTAATACTAGTGGTAGTCTGTTCTGTTATTGAAGGAAAGGTCAAATTCAAGTACATCTTGTGAGGAAGTTTCAAGTGTTTTGCTAACCTCAATTTTTCTGGTGTTCGTAGGTTACAAGTTGGCTCTGAACTACTTGAAAGCCAAGGATTACTTTCGAACTGTTGATGTCTGCCATGAGGTAGGTGTGCGTAAGTATATGCTTCCTGTGTAGTAATTTTATGATTGAATTCCATGCGACTAGAGCATGCATTTTGGTGGTAATGTAGGTTGAATGCTTATGAAATAGAGATGTTTTGGTACCTCCTGACTACCTAGAGGTACATCTTTTTTAGGTACTCAGCATTGCACCAAACTATGGGCATATACAGAGGACCATTCTTCGGAGGGCTCTCGATGCTATGCGCACATGACGCCAACTGACATCAGGCGCTCCTGCAATATATCCTGACCCAGCTAAAGCAGTTCCTTTTTTATTTTATCATTAAATAAAGGTTTTAGAGTGTTTGAAATATGCAAATGAGACTTCAATAAGGCCATGCTACTTATAAAGTCAAATTACTTATAAGTAGTTTAGGGTTGTTAAAAAGTGATAAAATTTGGGAACTCAAAAACCCCTAATTATAAACTCTTTAAAATCTTT